TATAAATGCTAATGTGGTCTCACGACTTCCCTCATGATTTGAAGTTTGAGACTGGTTTTCTGTTGAAATTCGTCCTAATTTGCCTGTTCCGATTTTAGTTGAAAATGAGCACTTGCAAATTTGGCAATTACTGACTGCGTTGCTTGCTTTTTTGGAGTTAAAACGCAGCCATTTACACATTGCTTATGTTCTCAATGAGCAGAGAAAACCCCGCAACATTTTAATGCGAGTTTGTTTGTTAATATTTGGGTGCTGTCATTGGTTCTTTTTTGACAATTGACGCGCGAATGGGGCGTGTTATGAAAAGGGGCGTTTTACAAAATACCGGGCCTTGCTTGCAGGCCCACTATCAGTTCCCTTGGGCCTGCACGCGGGCTAAGACAACGTCATAAACATTCACCTTGGTAATGTTTCTAAGAGGAATTCATATTCAAATTTGAGCTAAATTGCTTGAAAACAGTTCACAATTTCAATTCATGCGAGTAACGCAAGATTTTAGAAGTGTAGTTCTTGTAAAAAAAAAGGCAAGCCTGCTACTCGCGTACTGTCCTCGCACTATTTGGGCTGCCCTTGTGGTCCGTAGACCCAGAAAGTATATATGTAGTCCATGATATATATACGCAAAAATAGTTTAATTAAATCTGAGTCATGTGACTTATGCAGTTTTTGTATACTAAATAAAATTAGCCAAATTTCTATGTTACGATGATTGAGCATTGCGACAGAAGATTGTCATGGTAACACTGATTTCATAGCTTGGAGGTCGGCAGACTTTGTTCAGTTGGAAACTGCAGACCGAAATAACGAATCCATTGAAATGGCTTTTTTTGGATGAGCGATGATCCATTGCAGTAACCCCTTCCAGCTTGACCTCTCTGAGAAGTTCAACTTGTAGTTGATACTTCCACTCGGTTTGAACTCGAGGGCACTGAGAGTTACAATGAATCAGCATTGTGACAGACGATACGATTGTCATGATAACACTGATTTCATGGCTTGGAGGTCAGCAGACTTCGTTCAGTTGGAAACTGCTGACCGAAATGACGAATCCATTGAAATGGGTATTATGGATGAGTGATCATCCATTGCAGTAACCCTTCCCAGCTTGAGCTCTCTGAGAAATCCAACTTGTAGTTTTGATACTTCCACTCGGTTTGAACCCAAGGGCACTGAGATCATACTAAGTTTTGAACCTACTGTTCAAGTTGTGTCGAATGGGAAGATAAACTACTGAAACGCAGAAAGCAGACCTCACCACCTTGTAGGCCAATGCAAACTATCCCATTCGAGGCACATGCTATAGCTCGAACAAACCGTTCGAAATGGAACTCTTCAACAAACTCTCCATTTCGTAAATTCCACAATTTCAGCGTCTTATCACGAGAACCTGACAATAGAAATTCACCTCCTGGCACAAATGCCAACGCTCTGATATCATGTGTGTGACCACGAACTCTGTGGAGTGTCCTTCCAGTTTCAAGGTTCCAAAACAGCAAAGAATGATGAGAACCTAAAATGTAATTTAAAATGATAATATCTGTTATGGAAAAGTTACACAAGGTAATTTTTACTGCAACTTGCAATTCAATTTCGGATGAAAAGGCCATGTTATCCAAAATGTTGTCACGGAGAAATTGTGAGCATGGCCCGCATTGTACTCTGTTGACACTTTCTTTACGTATCATACTTTCAATCAATCAATCAATCAATCAATCAATCAATCAATCAATCAATCAATCAATCAATCAAGCAATCAATCAATCAATCAATCAATCAATCAATCACTTTATTTAAAGAGGGTTAAGAATATCGTACATAGCCCATATACCTGGTAAGTCAAAAAACTTATTTTCCCCAGGACCCTCGTAGTTTTAAAAAATACAAGTTAAAATATTTACAACATATAGTATAGAATAGAACAATACAATATACAAAAATGGACAATTTTTCCTTGCCGAGGAGCCTTGTTCAAAAGCTGGTCACGCCTGCTTTTCATGATCACCAAGGAAAATTGTTCATGAGTAAAGCCGTTAAGGAAAACGTGATAAGTATTTGCGCAGTAGGTCACCAGCCATTGCCAATAAATTTATTTCGGAATTTACTTTTGAAGTGTGCTACTGAAGAAAGTTTCAGCTGTTTTTCATTCTATTGGAAGCAACTTGTAAAGGCCCTGTCACACTATTGCGTATGAGAGAAACGTATGAGAAGCGTATGAAAATTAATGAAATAATTTTCATACGCAGAAAAATCCTTTGAAATGCCAGCGTATGAGTACCGTACATCTGGCGTACATCTGGCGTACCTCTGGCGTATTCAGCGTGTGCCTAGAGTATGCTTATCGTATAAAGCATACGTCCGATACGCACAAAATTTTTGAACATGCTTAAAAAAAATTTTCTGGCTCGCCGTATGCCAGCATATGTCACCGTATGCGACCGTGCTTGAAACGTATACAACCTACGCCTAACGTACCCCTAGCGTATGTCAGCGTATACCGGCGTATGAGTGATATTTTTCATACGCTGGAATACGCTAGTATGATACGCAATAGTGTGACAGGGCCTTAACGAAAATTATCATGACATTGTTTTTGCGTGCTCAAAAAGCGCGGGTCGTAAAATTTTTTCGAGGCCATGCTCACAATTTCTCTGTGACTAGATAACATGGCTGGATATCAGAATATTTCAAATTTGGGTTATGAGGACTGGACTGGATTTCAAGTCCACGCAATTTGATTCAAAATACGAGGACTTGAAATCTAGTCCAGTCCGAATTGGAGGACTTGAAATGACATCTCATATAAATAAAACACTGCCTAAAGTTAGGTGAATTAATTTTGATCCAGTCCAAGGACTGAATTAATTTTGATCCAGTCCTAGGACTGGATCAACAAACTTCACCAGGTATCCAGTATTACCATGCGAGCAAAATAAAGCAAAATCAAGCATTGTCAACGAGTTCGAGATATTGCGTTGCAACTTGCAGCAAAAATCGTCTCGTGTTGCATGACCTAAAGAGGCCACAGGTCAAGGGTAGGGTATTTTCTTATGGTATTTTAATGGTTGGGCGACTTCCCTGTGGTTGTCTCTCGTATCCAGACCTCAATACAGAAGTTGCGCTAAGCGCACACGTAGCATGTTAGGGAGGACAAGGGGACGAGGATTTTTCTCCGGGAACTCCGGTATTCCTCCCAGGTCGTCGGGAAAAGCCAGGTCCTCGGGAAATTGGGCAACCACAACCTGTTATAAAATGGAGAGTATATAAATAAACGATAATATACAGTAATTAACCTTTGGAGGCCACATGATTGGAAGCATGGTTAGCACGTGATACTTGTTCTCTGCCAGCACCACTATGAAAGTCCTTAGTCACTGAGCCTTCGTCCAAATTCCACTTTACGGCACTGAAGCTATGAATACATGCAGCAATGAGGGAGTCCTCCACCACACGCAACGCTGCAATTCTGTAACACTTAAACTTGTACGTGCGGACAACTCCTCTAGCGTTTATTCGATGTACCTGTCGTAATAATAATAACCATGTTTACCCAAGATATACTCACATCACTTATTTCCAAAATCGTGGATGCAGTCTGTCGTGCGAAAAACGTGTCATGTTCTTGTGTGAAAACATTCAGAAATGCCGAATGATGTTTTAAGGTATGGGACACTACCAAACACGACCTGCTTCAAACGCAAAGTTTCATGTGTCGATTCAATGATAATAGGGAGTTTTAGGCAAGCTATACTTTTGTCAACACGGACGTCAGATTGCAGAGGAAGGACTGGATTAAAAAGTTAACTGTGTTTGTGACATTTGGTGGTAACCTTCAAAACATAAGATTTTTGCTTCCTTATACGAACGCTATGATTCAAAATACCGGCAAAATTAATTATACCAATTTTTGGGTGACATCCGTGTTAACAAAAACGTCACTTGCTTAAACTCACTATTGAAATCAAACTGTGTCCGACTTTCATGCGTTATACTTATTTTGTCTCAAAGTTAACTTATTTTGAAATGCCGCAGTGGGGCCAAACAGTTATCCCATACCTGTGTTAAAAGCGGCTTTCTGATTGGTTTAGAGCGGTGAGCTTGTCGTCGAGCTTACCTGCTTTTTGCCCGAACTCACCGGCATTTCGCCGAACTCATCCGCGAAACTGCTCACGTTGCAATAACAATAACAAATATGGCGGACAAGATTTAGCCGATAAACCTAAACTTTAAAGAACTTTTTTCGGTGACTAACATACTGAGACTGAAGAAAAACCAAAGAAAAAATGCAATAAAGGTAATCTAGACGTAGATAAAGAAGTATTAAGAGCCCAGTTATTTTTTTGGCCGGGAAAATGTTGACAAAGCATCGACGAATATATCGCGAAGAGCTACAAATGTGTGTATGGTTCGGTTTATGGGATAAAAACCAAACGTACTTGCAGGTTCGGTGTGGCAGTGCCAACTGATGGCAGTGGTGGCCATTGCTGACCAGTGCAATTAAAGCAAAACATTTTCAAAAATTTCCCACCATTAACTTACACTAATTTTAACAGGACATAAAACAGGAACCACAGCAAACATTTTGTTAGACCTTGTGAGAAAGCTGAATGGGTAAGAATATATATGCTGCTTCGCGGCCTTTTTAAGTGTGAATTTACGACAGAAAGATACCAGCATTTTGAAAAATGCAACGTTTCGTTTTGAAAAATGCAACGCGCGTGCCACGCGCTATACTTGGCCAATAAGGAGCTCCCGTAGCCGGATCACGTCACAAATCACGCGTATAGGTGCACTTTGACCCTTAGAATCGATTTCTGGCATTTCCAGAGTCGTACGATACAAACGCCGCATTGTTGTGGGACGTTTTGAAATTGTATTTCCGGTTGGGATTAGCCCACATTCGGACCAGAAATAGAAATATGTGATAAAAGATGCAAATTTGAAGATACAGGCACGGAAATGACACTCTAAATTGTGTTTTTGATAGCGATTCGATCAAGACTATTGCAAAGAAGATACGTCCGAAGGGGTCGAATTTATGTTGGGGCAAAGATATGGCTAGTCTATATTAGGTTCAGACAATTGCGTAACTTGATAATACACGATCTCACTTGACTTTCAAAGGCCATAAATTGCTATAATGTTGGCAATGACTAAAACTATCGTGAGTAATTAGTTGATATTGTTTCACTGAATCGAATGCTGGTATTATTGTATTCATAGCATGCACTGAACCGAAGATATGAACATACAAATTCGTCAGCTTCTAGAAGCTGACGATGCGTGGGACTTGTCGCTCGAGGAGAGACAGTTAAACCAACTTCCAATTCTATTTACAAATGTATATAATCATTTAGAATATTTTATCTGAAATGTCGTTTTTTATGCTTACCATATGATTTATAACAAAATCCACCATTAAATTAATTTAATGTTTTGAAAACCTCAAATTTCTTACAAAATGTGCTCTCAGAATGCTGCAAATGCTATTTCAGGGATCCAATTTTAAAAAATCTTCTGGGGGAGTATGCTTGCAGACCCCCCCCCCCCCTTAAGCACTCGCCCCCCCCCCCAATATTTCGCAAAGTTTCCGCCATTGGATACCAGCTAAGTGAAGGATCTAAACGCTGTATATAGGGTAATGACATACTATTGTTGATGCACTGTATAGAGCAGAAATCTGGCCCCTGAGAAGAAAAAAAAGAACTAGTACTTGTCTGTAAACAGAAATGAGAATATTGCGTTTGGAGCATGAAATTGTATTGAGAAAAAATGTCAAATGAAACAATGGAAGAGATGGCAGAGGTACAGAATGTATTGAAGAAAAGTTACGAGATGCCCGACAACGATGCCTCGGGCACGTCATGTTTACCGTAGAAGGAAAATCAGTTTTTTGAGAAGAGCGGTGGAAATAGCAATTCGAAAAAAATTAAAAGAAACAGGAAGACCACACACACATGACACTCGGGAAGATACAAAATGGGGATGACTAGATAAAGATGACGGAAAAAGTGTTGAATGCCCCTCGGATCCTGAATTTACCATTTTCAAATATTCCTCAAAAGTGCGTATATACTTGAGAGTATTTATGTTGCATGCCACAAATGACAGATAAGGAAGTAAATTGAAAATGTCGCTCCAATCCGATCTGGTAAGGGGGAGGATGTTCGTGTGTACATCGAGCCTTGGTCATGCCTTGGAATGCGACCATTGATCAAGTGCATAGTATCTATAGGGAGCTACGGGTAGCAACTAATGTTCTACGGTATCGGGGAAACACTGCTCCTAGCAGGGAGGATGTCGCCTTAGCTTCGCAAAATAGAGAAACGGATTTGATAAGGAAAATTGCAACCCTTTTTCCAAGGTTAGTAGGGGCGCTCAATCCCCCCGCCTGCATCCCAATGAACATGACTTGGTCACAACAGGTACGTCCAAATAGAGACCAATTTTAAGCGGTCAATATAGCCCTACTGGGAACAAGCTCAACATACCTCGTTGCCATAGGAACCAACCACGATGTCCTCGGAGCCCGGCACGAATGCTAAGGCGGTAATGGGATGCGGGTGAACGTTGTCATGTGACCATATTTGGCTCCAAAAAGGCGGCACGGTTTTTGCAACATACCAAAATTTCACAGATCCACAGGCATACCCCGATATAAAGAAAAGAAATTCCTTGTTTGGGTGGCTTTCAACACGAGAAACGGCTCTGGAATGAGCTTCATGATGCTTATACTCATATTGTTCCACATAATCATACAATAACAGTTCTCCGTTTTCATAACCAAACAATATATAGTTTAAACCAAGAGGAGTAACGCAGGTCACTTTAACTGCTGGTTGACCCAATTGTAACTCAACACCATTATTGTTAAAAGTCCTCAACTCGATTCTATTCGCCTCATCAACAATTACAAAACTGTCATGACTTCTTAATACGCTAACCAAACGTATGCCAATTCCATCTTCGGTCTTTGCGAACGACTGAACTATCTTAGAACTCTCCAAGTTCATCAGCGACAGTGTCCCTGAACTGCTTCCGGTCAAAGCAAATTTCCCATTTGATGTGATGTCAATTGCAGTAACTATCGAGTCGTCAGAATGACCTGAAGGTGGTAAAATATTTGCAGTTATTGCCTATTCGAAGCATATTTGAAACATTATTCGAGCATACTAGGGAGTAATTCCCGAGCCAACGGCGCGGAGCGCCGTTCCGGGCGTAAGCCCGGGGCGAGGGTACTAATTCCGTTCGGCTATTTACACCCGGGGAAAGGAACGCACTAGCGAAGTCTAAAGTTCATCAAATATCGCGGGCGCATGGTGTATGGGTGGTCATCTCACTGATCTCAAAATATGGCTGTTTTCCAGGAGTGAAGAAGGGGAAAATGTAAAAAAAACATGTAAGAAAGTTTCGAAAATCGTTTCACATAACAAATTGTAAAACATTTTTTTCAATTTTTAAACGTAAACATTGATAAGAATTGATTTAAGTATAGGGCAAGTTTGTTTCAATTGTTTATGTGTGACTTTTTATTATTATCGACTTTGTTCTTGTTGCTTAAATATTTCCTATGCATTGTGTGCGAAAGATTCTTAGTTAAATTAACGTTTGTAGAAGTTCATGATAAAAAGGAAAGCAAATTAGTTTCATTAGCGTCCTGTACGAATTAAATGTATTTCATTTCAAAGTGCGAGTAATATAAAGTTGAAGCTGAAGAGTTTATTAAATATCGGCAAAAAGCAGTTGATTTCAATTCGCATTTAAAAACGTTTTACGTAGAGTTTCGTTTTGAATTTTACATTAAAATAAACCCCATGGAAAACAACACAATATACCTGCTTCATATATTTTAGAAATTGATAGTTCTGTATTTAAGTTTCATCTATAATTTGTTTGCAGGTTTGTACAAAAAATTAAAAAACAATTATCGTGTTGCCATGACTAACATGACGTGAGCAACCCGAGCCTGCGTTCAGTGTTGACGTAATTACGAATACTTCATGTTGAAACAATGTTTGGAGAATATAGGCGAGGGGTTGTTGCATGCATGTATTTCTAGTACTGTATATACAACTGTTCTTCTTTTTCGGACTAAAGATATATAATTTTCACTCAAAATTTCAACTGGCTTCCCTGTACCGTGTCGTAGCCTGTGCTAAACGCTCGGCAACTGGACTCTGTAGCTCAGTTGGTTTGAGTGTTGTACCGCAATCGCAGGGCCACAGGTTCGATTCATGCCACTGCTCCGAGTAAGACCCCACAATAACCTAATATAGCTACAGGATGTCTTAGCCTGCGTGCAGTCTCAACCCGAATTTATTACATATCAAGTTGATAATTAATAAAGTCGGGCTGAGGCCGCACTCAAGCTAAGCGTGTCCCAAAGAAAATGGGACACCAATAATTACACAACTAATTACTAGGCATTTCGACACTAAGATTATTAAATTGCTCTGGTATAGAACAAATATCATGGCTGTTCTAAAAACCCATTGAAATCACGCATCAGTTATGTATTAATAGATAACCCCTTGCTCTAAAACAGCCTTAAGATTGCTTCTATATCTTTGATAACCCCTAACTCCAAATCAGCCTTAAGATTACTTCTATAGTAAGCCAATTTTAATAAATTTAAGTGTCAAAATTCGTCTCTTGGATTACAGTTTGGCTCCAATAATTTTAGGCATGAACAATATTTGGTAAGAAAAATGAATGTGAAGTTTACGGAAATGATTTCTTTGTATTCGGACACTTGGCACGAGGAGGGGCGTTGGGTGTTAGCGTCATTTGTTACTACAAATGTCAACTCTTTAAACGCTTTTGCTTTAAGCTTCATGCGCATTTTTGATTCATTCATAGCCTACAGTTTTGTTAAACAGTTATTCAGCTACCATGCAAAGGCTTTCAAAAAATATTGTGGGAAGATCACCCGCTCCTTTAACTTGATCTCCCTCCCCTACCACTCTCTCTAAGTGTCTGTCAGTGTATGAATAAATCATTATTATTAATAAAATTACAAATAAACTTCACTATTTAGTATTTACCTACCTGCATTGTATTTGATCTCACGGCGAGTTGAAAGTTCCCAATAAATAAAAGAACTCTCTGTAGTTATACCAGTCAATATACCTTTGCCGTCAGGTAATACAACCATAGATGTACAACTTGGATTGGGCCCTTGACTAAAAGTCGATACTTGTAGCGAGTCAAGATTAACTATGACTTGACAAACTTCCATATTTCTGCTGCACGTGTAAATCATGTTTCTATCGCATACTATTTCGATTGTTGTAAACGGTAAGGTGACGCACTTTAAAGGTACATCACAGTTCTTCCAATTCCAGATAAAAACATGGTTGTTGTTGCATCCAATTATGACAAGCATTCCGTCAGAACTGAAGCGAACTATCCGAGGTTCGTTATCCCTATCGATTCCAGACAACTCACTACCATGAAGCATGTCCCACACCTTCAAATAATTAAGAGATCTTTTATGTTACGCAACATGCAATCAGAACTAATGCCATTTGGCTGGCACTGCATTTCAATGTTCAAGCATGCGTTATTAAATTAATTTTATAAATATATTTATTAGCTGTTTCAAAACTGATTGATTAATGTCAGTACGTATGTCCTCAATCGATTTATTCACGAGGCCGAGGGATCCGAGGAATCCCCGAATATGGGCCGATGTATCGAGGATCTACTTCCACGATGCAAACGCACTGCATTTCTTTGTTTCTCAACTGGCAGCTGTCATCATTATCACAATAATATCCCTGAAGGGGTAACGTTTCGCCCTTTCTACAAAACACTGTTGTGCGTATAGCTGCAAATCATTATAAACTTGGTGTGCAACGGTCGCAAACCTAATCATGGGTCGCCGAGCACACACCCCTACCCAACCCTGCATTTAAAAAGGTAGCTAACTGTATAAACTACAAAATAAAACTAAAACAAAGTGATTCTGGCTTTTACGCCAAAAATATTTTAGGTTTTGACGCTTTTAATTGCAAATATAGGTGAAAAGAATACGACAAAAAGTTTAAGCTCTAATTATTTTCTCCTTTACGTCAACGTTTACTCTGTAAATCAATACTAATAATATTAATATCATAATTTGCACTACATCTGCTGACCAAAGGCAATAATAGCAAAGAAATATTCGGGAAATTCTGCATTTTTTAGCCCTATAGGATTGCATATCTTGCGTTTTCCGATTGAATTTTCCGACACTGGTGTATATCAATCACTTTGTGCAACATTTTTGTTGTCCAAGTTTTTCAGTTCGGCGCCAGAAAATGTAGGAAATGGTACATTATGGAGTTTCAATTTTCAAGGAACATGTATCGTTTCTGATGTGTATTCGACCGTCGGTCCCATCGCTCCCAACTGTATCTACCCTTGGAGAAGCTCTGGCTTAGCAAGTTACTCAGATATTATACACGACAGATCTTTGTTTCACGGCATCTGGGCAAGTAAAACTGTCAGCCAGAGCCATGCGCACAAGAGAGAATGAAGCTGTCGTGTGCTGCTAGCTTTAGACTTCGACGTCCTGGTGAAATTTTAAAACGTGGCCAAAAATTAGGAGAACACCTTGTTTAAAGTGCATATGACATGAAATTTCTTATTTTCTTAAATGAAAGAACTCTTTAAGCTGTAGTGTAACTTATTTTTCAGTTTCTTGTTTTTATGGTTTGTTCCCGAGATATTTCAATTTGTTTGATATGTAAATGAGTGCGAATATGTCCGCTAATTTACGACGTCACGTTGGTTGCAAGCTCAACTTACACTGGTTATAAATCTATTAACTCTAAAAACTGTAGATATCTGTTCACGTTGTTCTACAGTGTTTTATCACATTTACCAGTGAGTGAAGTTTGAAGTTATCATCTTGGATTATAGCAGTGATATTCAACCATTTTGAAGAGCTTGCAACCAACATGACGTCATAAATTAGCGGACATATTCACACTCATTTACATATCAAACAAATTCAAATATCTCGGGAACAAACCACAAAAACAAGAAACTGAAAAATAAGTTACACTACAGCTTAAAGAGTTCTTTCATTTAAGAAAATAAGAAATTTCATGTCATATGCACTTTAATGAAAAAATGGTCTGTTGGAGAGAATTGTGTCTTCTGAGACATACTGGAAAATTTTTGTGAATACTTTTGTCCTATGAGAAGATGCCTATTAGTTGATATGCATGTCTTTTGGCCTTTACTTTACCTTTATCGATGACAAAAAATCTTTCGATAGCGACACGAGATGCCGACCATCAGCGGAGATTGCAACATTCACTGCTCTTCTTCTGAGACCTATTGATGATAAGTAAAAGAACAAGACATTAGAGGCCTAAAGATTGAGAATAAACATTGTTATTTCTGCAGTTTAAGGTTAGATGCCAGAGGTAATACATTTTGTGGAGATTAAGATTGAAGTGCAAACTCTGAGCTGTTTTTGAGTATAAGCCGCCATCTTGTTTTGACAGCCGTGCTTTGTAGTTGGTTCCAAGTTCACTGAGTTTTGCGGGGTTTTTTGTGTGTTTAAAAACTGAGTGAAATATGAAGCTTAAATTTAATGTTTTACACATTTATACAGAAAATGCGAAACAATAAAACCGTATAATTTGTGCCATTGTTAGATAATAAATGATATTCTTGCTCGTCTGGACTTTTGTCTTGTGCTTACACAAAAACTGCGTTTGAACTGCTCTGTTTAAACTGCAAACCGTCGAGCCAAGCCAAGGATCGAGATGGAACTGCCAGTTGAAGGCTTTTTGTACATGGAAATTTTAAGTGAAACTTTATATAGAATTTTAGATCTAACCACAAGCAGCGGTCAAACCTGCGATCCGAATCAAAAAATAGTTGCCATTTCTTTCTTCAGAAACTTGTTTCACGCAAGGTAAATATCATAACAATTTTCTTTATGTTAATATGATTTGTACCCTGAGAGAGCCTCTGGTCACATCGACTACAAAATAACACTTCCACACTTGATTAGATTCAGAATTTAAATCTCGCATGTGATTGGCCATTTGTAAAAATATGTCAAACCGGTTTGGGAACTAAACATTACTGTAAGCTAATTATAGCCTGTATTAAAATGTTCTATTAAACTCAACCAAGCACGAATATTAATACTCCTGTGAAAAAGGATCAAACTTCTCAGGAGATAAACATAATAATATCAATCAGTGATATCTTTTTCACAGGAGTATTAATATTCACGCTTAGTTGAGTTTAATAGAATATTTTAATACAGGCTATAATTAGCTTACAGTAATGTTTGTTTCCCAAACCAGTTTAACATGCTTTTACAAAAGGCCAATCACATGCGAGATTCAAATTCTGAACCTAGTCAAATGTGGAAGTGGGATTTGCAACAATGTGACCAGAGGCTCTTCCTCCTCGCCTCTCGTTTCTTTCGCCTCGCAAAGAGCCTCTGGAACCAGGGTATATCAAGAACGTGAAGTTTCGTCACCGTAAAGTGGAAAACAGGCTCAAATGGACAATCCTGACTATACCTTTCAAAGTAAAGCATTCTTGTGCGGTCTTGCAATTCCAAATTTTGAAAGTCCCATCCATAGAAGACGAAACGCATCTCGAGCCATCACGTGCCACCGCAATGTCAATGACGCCTTCCGAATGACCACGTGACCTGTCCTGTTTCAAGTACGCACTAGTGTCTAGATCCCACACTCTGAAAGTTTTATCTTGCGATCCAGACAATGCCTTTGATCCGTCAGCAATGATTGTCACAAATCTAAAATGCAACAAATTGATTGTCAATTTTCAATATTCATTTTATTGCCAATTCAGACCTCGTTTATACTACAAACTAAAGATTCCGGATTCATCACGAAACTGAAATGTTTTGGTACTGGATTCAGATTACCGTTTACACACGCAGCGACAAATACTGTACGATATGGAATTATCTCCGTTTTCAGCCGTGTCAGGGCACTTTCGAAACCGGAAAGTAGAAACTTTTGTGTCCAGAAACACATGAATCTGAAGCAGTACAACGTATACGGTTGCCAGCAGTAAGTACTTTCTTCACTTCGGTACACCTAGCTAGTGTACTTAATTCAGTTTTTGAAGTATTTGATAAATTTATTAACAGAGAAATATTCATTTTATACTAATCCGACAAATAAAATTCTAAAAAAAATTTGTTTGTTATTCATCCATGCAGTGTAAACCCTGGCATCCGAAAACCTGTTTTCATGCATACTCGAAGTCGAATCCAGAATCGTTTGTACTATACTGGCCGTAAGTGAGGGCTTATTCTACCTATAAAGGCTCATCCCTTTAAGTCCATAATGTTTCTATACTGAACAAGCCTTAACTGAAACCAACTTCATCTATATAAGATAGGTCTATTTGTTCCAAACCGCCCTGCTTTTGGACACTACCTCCCTATAATCTCAGAATTCATAACTTCATAATTCTAAGTTCAACTAAGTTTTGAAGTATTGAAGTATACGTTTTGAATTTGGCACCTAAGACTATATATACGGCGCCCCATGGTTCCCTAACTTCTGCAACCAAGCCAGTACAAAATGGCTGGCACTTGGAGTTAGCTATCTAAACCTGCAGCTACTGGTTAACTCGGAAGTTCCCAGAGTTATGGTTAACAAATGAAAAACTCATGCGGAGCTAGCTATTTTTAAATAGGTTTAAAAATTTTGATTTACTGGCTAACAACTCCACAAATCGTGTGTAGGTAGCTAACTAAACCTGGAGTTATTAGCTAAAAACTCTACTTGACTGGCTAAGAACTCCAGCTGTTCGAAGCTGTTCTTCCCAAGAAAACCAGTAAAGGGCTTTATTATATAAGTACTGAGATTTATTCATTAAAATGACATTGCGTAATAATCGTACGGAATTTTGCCACAGCCAATCAGCGACGCGAACGATGAAAAATGAAACAACATCGTTCGCGCCGTCTGATTGGACGAACCATGTTTTTTTCACTAGTGAAAAATGATCGCACTGAAAAATACTTTTGTTTTCCACCACGAACTTTTTGGCGCGAAACCTATTTCAATTTGAAAATCATAATGGCTGCGTGATTTACGGACGCCGTTTCTGTTGACAATTTTATTTCAGAACAAGAAAATAAAGCTAGTATACCTCACAAAAAACCGAACGAGATGTAAAACTATTACTGTGTTACACTTGTTTTTGGAAACCAAGAATGAAGAAAGAAAAATGGAAGATATTCTGACAGCAGAACTGAACGAGTACGTGTCTGACTGAGTTTATCAATTCGGTCAGAACCAAAGGCGGGAAAAATATACGAGCCATCTTGTCTCCGAAGTCTATTGTATTAGCAATCTTCGAGCAACATCTTAGGAAAAAAAACTACCCGGTTGCAAGCATTAGGCCTATCAACGATTTAGCATTTAAGAAGACATTAAAAACTTTGAAAACTAATATTAAAACTTTAATAACGTTTTAATAACATTAAAACTTTGTCATCGTGAATGAAAGCTCAGTATTTATAAAATAAACAAATCACATCGTGGTTGGTTCGCAAATACGATCTTTATTCACTCGTGAATTATTACAAGATCACTCGTTTGCTGCACTCACTCGTTCACTTGTAATAATCCACTCGTGAATAAAAATCGTACGCGCTCACCAACCATGAAGTAATCTCTATATCTCCAATTGTTCTACAGTATTACTACAGGGGAAATTTTTAACGATTGGATGAACCGAATCAAAGAATGTCTGCCGTAGTTTTTGGTAGAATCAAACCAGGAACACTCATTGAGGTAAAATTATCTGACAACTGCCAATTGCAATAATCGATCCACCCTCAAACTCACCTGACTGATTGGCTGTGGCCTTTAAAACAGAAAAGTAATTTTCCAGTGTGAAAACACCATAATCTCACGATCATGTCCAGGCCTCCGGAGATAATATGCTTCGTATCCGAGCTGACAGCGACACTGTAGATCTCATCTTGATGACCACTGAGGGTACGAATTTCTTTATATGTCCTTAAATCCCAGATTTTTAACGTTTTATCTCCCGAAGCAGACACAAGCACTTGATTGTCATTTCCTAAACGTAAACGAAAATGGCCAGCTTTAACTATAGAGACGGATGATCCGTCAAGATGACCTTGGGCAAAGAAAACAAAGGTCGTCTGATACGTCTGTGCATAAATCCTATGGTATAAACGCAACAGCCAGATATGTGTCAGATGTTGGCATGGGTCCATAATTTCTTGTGTGCCCATTTGAAAATGTGCCTGCAAAATGTCTGCGTGAAAAAGTAAAATCAAGACGTGATAGGGCTATAAATCTCAAATGTTCATAACTTTTTCTCCTACAAAATCAATAATGATGCCTAAAAGTCAGATGTGGTGGACCAGGTGAGGCCAATGGTTGCAAAATCACTGCCACCACGCCCCCCCCCCATCCCCCTCCCCCCCCCTGGTTACACAACTGAGTAACATCTATTTTCACTGATGTTCAACAAACATATATATATATAGGATATTAGACGGTTGCGAAGAGATATGGATTTTATGTTCGAGTGGCAAAAACAATATCTCAGCGCAGCGAACGAGTGAGATATTGTTTTTGACACGAGAACATAAATCCATATCTTCTCGCAACCGTTTAATGTTCTGTTTATTATATGGACTTACTCAGAGTGACAAAAATACACACAAAGACGACATGTAAATAAGCACGCGAAAGACCAGTATAAAAGCGATATTTTTTAAAATTATACTGCAAACATAAAACTAGAATAAATTTTACTTATCTCAAGATGTCTTTTAAATGTTTTCGTTTTATTTCCAACGTTAATTTCGTTTTAAATACGAACCAAAGACCATTTGTATTTTCAAAACAACAACAGTGAAAATGGCGGGAAATTTTCAAAACTTCGTATGTCACTAGCAGGGGTGAAATACGGAAAATACGCGCACCTGGCCCCGGATGTAGTGACGTATGAGTTCTACGAGTGTTTTAGTTTCCAGTAAAACACCATTGTCCATATAATAAACACACATACTTTGCATACCTGTTGCCACTACACTGTACACGGTGTGTGTATGGCCACGTAAAGTAGCTTGGATAGTTAAGGTATCAACTCTCCATAACTTGATAGTGTGGTCAAGAGATGCAGTAGCAATGTACATTCCATCTTTTGTGGTACACAAACCCCGAATTTGTCCATCATGTGCAGGAACGATACCCAACCGTTCACCTGTGGCCACACGCCACACTCGCAGTTGCCCTAGTACACATGGTAGACGTTAGTCAGGTTCTCCTTAAAACCTTGTCAAATGAGGGTGACAGTTGATGACAGTCGGGAAGCGAGATTTTGCATGAGAATTTTCTTAACTCGCGATTCGGTGAAACGCGAACAAAAGTTACAATTAACGGAAATTACACAGAGACAGTGATATGTATTGCAGTTTATTTAATTAAGGCAAGGGTTGTGTATTAGTCACAGTGGGTAATCAGAAGTACATTGTCAGACCTTTGATCAGTGATGGGCTCAACAGTGAACCCATTGAACATTGATCAAATATTAACCCTAGGCATTTCAATATTCTACAAGGAGTGCAAGCTACCTTGAACAGCAAACCTCGACACAAACTGTAATCCACCAGACTATATCATTCAATTTCACATTTTGTCATAATAATACAGTTAAACGGTAGTTTAAAAGTATCGTTTTGATCCGAAATAGCCATTTGAAAGAATTGGACACGTGATCCCCATTTTCCTCGAGCATCTCAGAAAATGAAAAGAGCATCTCAATATGAGCAAAATTGCAAAGTTTCATATTTTAAAATGCAATGCGGTAGAAATAGAATTCAGTTTGCATACGCATAGTCTATGATGGTCTGCAAACTAAACAGAAATCATTGTCTTATGTTTTTGTTTCATTTTACGTTAATTTGTCCACGGTCATGGCAATGGACATATTCCCTAATGAACAAAATTTTGATCTAGACAAGTCTAGACAAACATTTAATTTCACCATAGCTTGAAAGAGCATCACAAAGTTAGTAATATTCCGAAGTTTCGTTGCGAAATGTTGAAAAATGCTGATAATATAGCTCAGTGAAGTTTGCCGTTTTTCAGTCATTGTGTAATACGCACCGGAAATTGATACCGCTTTCTAAAAAAAGGTATCAATTTCCCGTGCGTAATACAAAATGACTGAAAAACGGCAAACTTCGCAGGGCTATATTATCCGCATTTTACAACATTTCGCAACGAAACTTCGGAATATTACTAATTTTGTGATGCTCTTTCAAGCCGTGATAAAATTTTTGTCTAGACTTGTCTAGATCAAAATTTTGTTCATTAGGGAATAGGTCCAGTAAGCTCATTGTATTTTCGTACAATGAAGCAATCGTCCAATAGGGATAACCGGCGTGAACGTGGAACCACGATCATAATTAATATTTAGGTAAGGTACAGTTCAACAAGAAACAAAGGTGTTCTATTTTCCATGATATCTGGACAGACAATGGTATAAGAAAATGCTTGGGATCGCAAAGAGCACTTTCCTATAGAGTCATAAAAAAATTGTATGCCATTTCTTCTCCAATGTAAATCAAATCAATGTGTGCACTGCGTGCCAAAAGTTATCACAATTAGATGCTTACCATCATTCGATCCACTAAACAGGCGGTGATCATCTGCACTGAAATCCAACGCATTCACATAACCACCATCTCCTTGTAACACGAAAAGCTGTTCAAAACTATCCATATTCCAAAGAATTGCAGTAGAGTCATACGAGCCTGACGCAAGTAACGTTCCACTGTGCGACAGAGCCAAACAATACACTGCCATTGTATGTCCTTCGAGCACTTGCAATTCTTTGCCTGTTTATGCAGATAGATAAATTATAAGTATTTAAGTAGGGTAATAGATCTTTGTACGTGAGGTCACAAATTTCTAAGATTAAATACCAGTCTACGTGCGCCAACTTACCAAAACGTCGCATTTAGATTGTGTTCACATGAAGACAAGGTATATTTTGGAGAGGGGCATCTGGCCCCGCAAGGGTCACTAGTTAGTGGGACAGACTGGATCTTTCTCTTTCTCTGAGTGACCTAAAATCTCTGGGGTTCCCACAATCGGCCCTAATTTTGGTTTTGGCCCTCAACTGTAAAATAATTTTGAAACAAATGATAGCGATATTACATTTATTAAACGACGTTTCGATGCTACAGCGTGCATCATTTTCAAGTTAGTAATTACATTTATAATGCGTTGATTTTAATCAAACCGTTCGTGTCATGTTAGCAAATTATTGCGTAAGCATGCAAAATTATTGCGTAAGCATGCAAAATTATTGCGTAAGCATGCTAAATTATTGCGTAACCATGCAAAATTATTGCATAAGCATGCAGAATTATTGCGTAACCATGCAGAATTATTGCGTAACCATGCAAAATTATTGCGTAAGCATACAAAATTATTGCGCAACATTATGAATATATCGGCCGCAACCGTATGAATATTTTCCCATATGAACACGCCAGTCTGCTTACAAGGATGATGTCAAGAAACCGTAATTTAATTTAACAATTTTAACTTGCTTCTATGTTTGTTTTGTAAACAGATTACACATGTTGCTAAACCAATGCGTTTTCTTGCAAACAAATGAAGAGAAATACCAAAATCGTTAAAACATTTGTAACTACAGGCTATCTTATTTGTTACTATGGATGCAACTACCTGAAAAATATAAGGAGAATTTCGACGTTTCGAGCGAAGGTCCTTCGTTTGGATTTACTAGCCAAGTAACTCCAGTATGGAGTTCCCCTTATTCAAGATCTTATTTGTTCCGTATATCGTTACTATACAAGTGTTTCAGGGGTCGAAATGTACGCGCTATTCCGTTATAATAATTCCATATCACTGCTGCCTTGTACAGGGTGTCTTAAAAAAAGTGACCGCTTAGAAATCACCCTTTTGTTGTAAACACCCAAAACTTCGTCACCTCTGGGAGTTTAGAATGCATTGTAATCGTAAGAGCATATTAAAACTACATAAATTGTACATGAAATAGAAAAGAACAGTAACTCCGAATAACATTTTGTAGCTGACGATGACTAAAATATAGTCGAAATGTACATTAAAGCTACAAAAAGTTATAGCTACAAAAATAATTATTGTTCTTCTGTATTTTATAAAATACTCAGTGGTTCCCGTAACTATTGTACATGAAAGTTCTAATTGACAGTTACATAAAGTGATACTGCAACAAATTTTTCGACCCTCACTTTTTTAGCTTAATTAAAAGTGCTTTCCTTCCTGACCTGTTTACCACATTACAAACAGAATTGAAATTGGTGAATTCAAACCGATTTTATAGCCTTCCAAAGTGGCCATTTTTGGCACTTCCTGTGCGAACTTTTGATCAGCCATGTTGATGCTATGTGACGTCATAAGATGAACACGATTTCATCATGGCGTATTAAAATTATAGTAAAACGAACAAACACGCAGAGACGAAGGCCGTGTTTCTGGCAGTTCAAACTTAGATTATTGCACGAATTCTGAATAGCCTGAAAGAATACCCATGCATCTATATCCCAACAAAAAAGACAGATCCACAGAGTGAAAGAAAGTCAGTGAATTTTATCCGTAAACATTGACCGGGCTTTCACGCATCTGCGAACCTAGTGTTTTGATTGAGCACGTTTTGAAGATTCGTGCTATATCTCATTTTCATTGACAAAACCTCGTAAAATGGAAAGAATACAAGAAACTGTTTATACAATTTACATGGCTAGAATTGATCCCCTGGCTAAAGTACAACTAACAGACGCAAGGCAAATAATTCAGGTATATAGTGAAGTAAAAATTAATATGTTCACACACATGATGAATATTTTGCGCGAATGACGCTATATGGTCCTATATAGTTAGTCTAATTAAAGTGTTTAACATTTCTTATGTTTTAGATCATTTGTGGTTGTTAGATCTGGGGTTTCCACTAATTTTACACGTTTGTACCATCGCTTGATTGCTCCAACATAGTTACAGATGGTAGTTGCCTATCAGCGGCGTTAATGTCTCTATCACTTCGTCTAGTGAAGCTGTGTAAAAGCTGTTAGGCAACTGGTTCATCATCGTATTTCAAAGCGGACTTAGCCGAGTCCATATATACTCGTTGACTTCCAGACGCAGTACTGACCCTATTATTTGAGTCTCTTACCGTCATTCCGCCGTCAAACTAACAATAAGACACAGCACTCGTTCTTCGATTTTTAAAAATCAGTTATCTGCGCCATAAACAAGTGAAATAGACAAAAATTCCACTGCAATATGTTGACGCGCCATATAATTTACTACAAATACGATCTTCATATCTTCGTTTCCGTTCATCTTATGACGTCACACGGCATCAATATGGCGGCGGAAAAGTTCGCACGCGATAACCAACTTCAGAGATTAAATTTGGCAACTTCTAAGCGTCGCATGATGGTCAAATATATATGAAAATGCTTCTAAAAAACTGAATTTTTATTTAAGCTTAAAAAACTACGTCCAAAAATTCGCTGCAGTAGCACTTTAAGGGCCTGTTCATATGGGCAAAAGTTATCCCGGTTAGCGAGAAAACTTTTCGATAAGTTTACAAGTGAGATCTCGCCTTGATATGAAAATAATACGAAAAGTTACACTGCGTTCATATGAGACAAAACGTTTTCCCGTGTACCGCGATCTCGCTTGTTGACAGGCGAGATCTCGGTGACCGGGATGTTTTTCCCATATGAACACAACTTTCCCGCTAGCGGGATAAGTTCAATTGATGTTCAGTGCTACGTCACAGCCGGAAACTTTACCCGGTGGTGCGGAGGCTCCCAAACGCGGGCGAGGCAGTACCCCCAAAATGGCGGGAAAATCAGCCGTGTGAAAGGCTAATTGTGTTTACGTACCCATATATAGGTTCAGTGTAGGACACAGACATTCAAATAATTCACAATAAAGAGTCACTTTTTGTTGAGACACCCTGTAAAATACTCCAAGTCTAACAATTCTACAAAGTCTAAATATAGGCTAGTACTAAGTATTCTCTTTGAAACTATGGGATTCTGCTAGATTTATAGCAAACAAGCCTGACTAGCCTCGTTTTAGTGCTTTTTCTGAAACTCTTACACTTTGTCTTAAATAACAGTCTCTGTGGAAAGAGTTGGTTATTATTATTATATTATTGGTCCGGTAATAAAATACACATTAATGCAAAATTGTGGCAGGCTGGCAGCTACTTTTCAAATCGGTCGATAATAGCTGATAAAATAGTAAACTTCATGATCTCAGTAATCCGTTTATATAGTAGAAAAAACTGACATGTGGTTATCAATTATTGTGTAATATCAGCGGTACGTTATTAACGATAATTTCATTGCTACAACTGTTGATTTTGTAGTTGAGTTTTTGCGCGTAAAAATCTCACAGCTTTTCAACAAGATGTGTTCGCACTGCTTGTTCCCAGTTGTCGACAAGTCTGAAACAAGCTGTTAACTGTAGGTTGATCAGGTCAACAGACTCTCAACAAATTGTTCCAACACATTCTAATATTATTGCACAATATAGCTACATGTACCTGTTTCTAGTTCACGAATCTTGATCAAACCGTTTCCCAAAGCGGCAACGACAATAGCACCAGTTGCACTAACAGTCGTTGCTAATGAATATACCATATCATTAATGTTCTTACTGAATATCTTAATCAACGGTCCTATGGGTTCGGACAGACAGGAAAATAATGGCAAAAGATGGTATGTTTTTTTGCATGTTTCACGAACGTGCTCTAATAGCGTGTTGACGCTTGGGTGTTCGTCAGCAAACGACAGCAATCTACCTAAAACATAAATATACTACAGTTTTAGCATACGTATAAGAAATTGATTTAATTTATAATATTAGTGTGATATCGTTATTAAGTTGATGCTTGACGTTTCTAATAAAAGTGAAGTAAATTAATGTGATGGGTGTGCTGTTGGCACAGTGGTTAGTGCATGCGTGCCTTTCACATGCATTTGAGAGTGGGCTTCGATTCCTGTAGTATGCAGTTGTCTGATGATATTACAAATTCTCTTTGAAAACAGTTCTTGGGTTTTTTTCCGGAACATCGGTTTGATGGATTAATCCTTAATAACGGATAGAGCTAGCCAGGCAATAAGGGACGGCTCGGACTATAGACAGTAAGGTAAGGTTATGCGAGGCGATCGAGGAATGGTACGGCACGGTAAGGCAAGCCATTGTAATGTAATATAATGTAATGTAATGTAATGTAAGGTAAGGTATAAAGGCAAGGTAAGGTATAAGGTAATAAGGTAATAAGGTAATAAGGTAATAAGGTAATAAGGTATAAGGTATATAAGGTATAAGGTATAAGGAAACGGCAAGGCCAGCTATATACCAGGTAGACTAGGATGATAAAGTTAGGCAAGGATACATTATCGTTTATTACCTAGCAGTTGCAGACCAATTGAATCCGGGCTTTTCTCGATGACATCGGCAGATAACGTTAACGAAGATTTGAGAAGTTTCATTTCGTGCGAGAGCGGGTCCAGGAAACGAAAATCCGATATTAAGGAGGGCAAGTTAGTTTGTTTCACTTTTTGTTCAAGCCAGTGATAATCGAAGAACAGTTGACGTATTTCCCCATGTGGTTCGAAGGAGTACAGGTGATAGGGTAGGTACTTGAAATAGTAATCTTTATTGCCTTGAAATTTTGCCCATTCGCGGTTCACGCATTGGCCACGAAGTGTTTCTAGGAACAAGCGCTGGACATCAGTTAGTGTTCCTGTGGATCGAAGTTTCGCACGTGCAAAGTCCAAGAGTAGATCATGGACACGGTAGCTGTTTTTTCCATGAAGTTCAGGTCCTGAAAGAAATCATTAAAGAGCGTTAATGTAATAGTGGCCTGACTTGTAGCAGTGACGAATGATGGGCCAGGTCCAACTTGGGTGAAGAATTAATTCATTAGTGTTTAGTTGAAAAATCTAGAGGAGTGAACTGGAAACGCCATGATTGTTCTGCCCGTTGCTACCCGTGGTAACAAATCAATAGTCATGATTTTTTTGTGTTGGTGTAATGTACTCAGGTGAATGTGACGCTTGTGATGTTACTCTGAGTGTATATCTGAATGTGTTGGTGTATACTATTGAATACTATTACAAGAAAAATTCATGATTATTAGATTACATCGATATCAAAGGAAATACATTCAGTTCCGAAATATCACATACTCGAACCGACCTGACCGCGTAGCTCAGTTGGCAGAGCATTGGGCTGGTATTACAAAAGTCGTAGGTTCCCACCGTGGCCAGGCATATTTTTCAAGCTTGCCCGGTGTGGATATACACTCAGAGTAACACCACAAGCATCAAATCAATAGTCGTTTTGTAGCAACAATGATGAATCAATAATAATCAACACTAATGAAGCAATAATGAACTAATAATATAATCATGTTGTAGCTCTGTCACAGAGGAATAAGCCTTTTATAATCTTCAGCCTAAACTGGCTCTTAATTAAAAGAATATAGTAGCCATGTTGTAACTTGTAATGTATGGACCAATCCGGAGCTGCCAGTCAAAGTAGTGAACTGCTCAATCATCGTTTGTGTTTCACTACTAACATACTTGGCCTCGTGTGTAAAACGAAATAAAGAAATATACACCTAAGGGAACATATATTCTAATTTAAATGTTTCCTCTTCCCACTACATACCTTTTTGAATCAGAGACTTTCTCTCAAGCACATTAAGTATACGTCTTCCTGCCCGAGCGCCACACTTAATTCTCCCAGCGCCTTCCGAACACCATAACAGCTCGAGTATATCTGCCGGTACATTCGTATCTTCTGGAAATATAGCGAAATCTAGGAACTTCTCTTGCGCGTTTTTCTCCAAACGTTGAAAGCTAACATCAATGGCTGCTAAGAGGTTATCGTAAGGGTATGCGTCACTGGGAAATAGTGAACGTAATTCTACCAAGTCAGCCTTTTTGAGGTCGTCCAAAATATCCTCCCAATACTGTTCCGCGCGATCGTCGATTAAAGTCGAGCCCACTAGGGACAGAGCCAGCGGCAGGCCTCGGCATTGGTCCAACAGTTCGGCAACAATTCGTTGCATGTTTGAACTAAACTTAGACTGTTCGTCTTGGGTTACCCGGGCACTTTGATACAAGAGCTTGCGAGATTTATCCTTTGCCATAGTTTGGAGTTCGTACAGAGCAGAACCTTGCAAGCCGCGGACAACGTCGGCATCTCTAGTAGTTATTAATAATTGGCATTTTCCAGATAGGTGATCAAACTCGGCAGCGTCGTCAACATTCCAAACATCATCTAGCACAACTAAACAATCTTTATCAATCTGCAAATACATTGCAAACCATTTATATGCATGGTATTAATAGCCTTACTTAATTATAACCAAATTTAGGGTGCTTTCTCGATACATATAAACAGTCCTAACTATATTTAATACAAAACGTAAACCTAAATCTAACCCTTCAAACAAATTTTTAAGGCACTGTTACACTCAGCAACTAGTCTTAAGAAAAACGATTTCAGCATTGCATTGCAGGGGATGTTATACCAAGCAATATGTTCCATGCAACTTGCAATAATCATAGTATAAAAACCGCGAGTGCTTACAGCGGTTTGTGCATTATAATGCACAAGTCAATGGCGTAGAGGGGTAGTAAAAGAGCGAAATTGTCCCCGCCCCGGGGAAAGGGTAATGAATCAATGTCCCCGCATGTCTCTCAACCCCAGGAAAATAGTTTTGTATATTTCATAGATCAGCAATAGAAAATCAAATTCATTTATGTTATTGTATTTAAACTTTTCTTGTAAAGAAAATTAAAACAGCAACACAGGATATATATGTTAACCACTGAATCCATTCCCCCGCTTTTGTCCCCGCATCGTCTACCGAAAGAGAAAATGTCGTCCAAGTCCCCCATCATCGCGGACATATTTACAATCAAAACTGACCATTTTCCCCGCTAAATACACCCGCCCCTCCCCGGTTGGGGGGGGGGATTTACATTGACTGGTGCACAATGTTTTGACGGCATCTGACCCCCATTCGAAATGTTTTTTGGTGAGGATTTCAATGGTGGATTTCGTTAAAAGGGGGGTAAATACTCGCCGAGATAATTACATTAGAAACATCGAATGTATATTGCAATGCGACACCGGTTCTTTAAGGCTGTTTCTTGTCACGTCCTCGTACTAGATCAAGCCTCGCTTAAATTAAGTTCGCTAATATATAAAGAATGCATACGAATCGTGTCTTTACTTTTTCACATGCGTGCCCTTATAAATCCGCCATATTGAATTCGACTAGGAATGAGAATTGTAAACTATAAAAACAGAGCCAAGGCCACGTTTTCGTCGTCCAAAATTTTGTTTTTGCTGTCTAAATTTGTGGTTTGAGGATAGATCTTCAAATATTAGGTTCTTTGAAAAGCAAATGTAAGTAACTGCTGCATCAGTTGCGCAGTTACAAAATGGTGAATATCGTGCAGCCTTGCATGCAAAAACAAAGTAGTTTCGCGTAAATATAATATACTCATAAAACATTTTTGCATGCTCTGAGCGTAGTTCATTCTTCATCGGGTTTCGTTTTTCTTCACATTAAGTTAAGTGTTTTCATGTTTTTAAAACAAAAAGTATTCAGTAATCGTCGAAAACTGTGGTTGCCCCAAGGCTCATGGAACGTAGAAAAATATGAAAACTGTGTAAGTTTAAAAAGATTATTGAACTCCATTCATTTTAAAAAACAGTTGAGATACATTGCTATTCAGTTCAAGGTTGACTTGATCTTCTGTATTTTTACTATGTAAAATGTATTTTTACACGACGATTTCTGTATAAATTCTGTTCAATTAAAAGTATTGCTTTTCGTAAAAAAAACTCACTAAAATGGGTTTTTCAAAAGTTTATCTCCTTTATCTCCATTGAGGCGAGCCAAAATAACCTTATAAATCCTCCATTTTGTGGAGACAAAATTTTTACAGGGAAAAGATAAGAGTACGCATTCTATAAAAATTATTTCCCACAGGGAAAGTTGACAAGGTGGGCTAGGGTAAACATGGTTAGGAGAGTAAAATGACAATGGATGATTGCAGCTATAGGAAAAATATTGATCTAGACAAGGAGAACGCAATCCAACACGACAGCTAGAAAGAGCGTCTTAGAATGAGTAAAACTGCAAAGATTGGTTGCTAAATGTTGCAAAATGAAGAAAATCTAGCCCTGTGAAGTTCGCAACCATTTTTGGGCCGAAAGTGGTTATTTAGTAGTAATACAAATATATACAAAATTTGCGAACTTCACAGGGCTATATTTTCTTCATTTTACAACATTTAACGACCAATCTTTGCAGTTTTACTCATTCTAAGACAATCTTTCTAGCTGCGGTGTTAAATTTTGTTATCTTTTCTTGATCAAAATATAGTCAGTAGCTGCAATAATCCATTGTTGTAAAGACAAATAGTCAAGGCTGCTAAGTACAAGTAATCTAAGTAAGGGTAAAACTTCATGTAATCGGTTACTCAAAACTCCCAATGGGGACTGAATTGAATAATGTATGTGCATGTATTTATGAACTTCTTTTGTTTTTCCCCATAATTATCAAAGGCCATGTTACACGGGACGTTTCAACAACGATTCGTAACACAATGCGTAGCCGAACCAATCAAATTTCGTACAGCGTAATTTGCATTACAAATCGTTATTAAAAATCGTTTCGTGTCACATCGCCTTAATAAGAACTACAAACAACATTAAACGTATACATACCGTATTCGCTTTTACCCAGGCTTGCGCGGTCGAAATATCACTGAACGATGCTCCCCCAAGAGCTTTAATGAGGATATTAATCAGTGCCAAGCAGTCTGGGGTTTGACCAATGTCAAGCCAGATAACCTGGCGAGAAACCGAGGCAGCCCAAGCAATAGCCTGGGCTAGGACGGTCTTACCCAGACCCCCCCATTCCACGAATACCAATGACGTCACCGGTACGACTTCCGACCACACCCACTCTATTATTCCCCTCCATCAGTAACCCCAGTATCTCGTTCACTTCTGATGGTCGTTCCACCATGTCACGAGGTAGATTGCGTAATCCACACGGAACTTAGATAAAAAATGAAAGAGTTCAGGAGACCACAAAACTAACTGTATTGATGCTGAAAAGCCGTATCAGTTCTAAACTGTTCTCTCGAGAGGTCCAGCACATGCCATTCCTTATTTGTTTTATATAATTTAATTATGTATTTATTTAACTTTGCGCCAATAAACATTTAACACAGAAAATACATATATAGACAATGGCCGAGAACACGCTACAGCTTTCGCCAATAGACCTTATGCATAATGACGTCACAAAGCTTGATGCCCGCGAGTAATGCTGGCCTTAGTAGTCATCACCCGGAAAAATTTCGATAATGGCCATTTTGAAAGATCAGCATTCCTCGCGGGCATCAAGCCTTGTGACGTCATTATAGCATAAGGTCTATTACAGCGACCCCGCTTGACCATTGTTAAGCCCCGGTCAAACGAGAATGAGAGTTGGTAGTCACGAATTGTTACAGGCGACATTTCCAGCGCTAGATTATACAAAAATAAAGGTTTCATGAGTGTTACAACTACGTTTTAACTTAAATAAAACACAAGATAGCGTTGGAAGAGCATTAAAGATGCTGTAAAGTCCGTTCTGCGCACACGTTCTGCGCAGGCATACATTCCAATGGTCGGGACCCGACCGTTGGAATGCTATTAATATTTCGAACCTTCCGAACTTTCTTGAATTAAATCTCTAGTCTGTATTCATTTACAAGCATAGCGAACCAGAAGAGTGTTAAAAATTCAGTATAATATATATTTAATCATATTTTCAACTATAGCACTGAGTTCAAAATGTAAACAAAGCGTTTGTTTACATTACGGACTTTACAGCATCTTTAAGAAAATATAACCAAGATCGCGTGACTGCCGACTCTCATATATTCTCATTCACGGTTCGTACAGGTCAGGAAAAGAAATTCAAGGAATTTCAAAGTGAAGTAACAGGCAATTGAAGGACTAAAGGCTGAAAAGAAGCTGTAAGAAGTCAGTAAGAAGTATGCTAAACTGTTCAAATTGCAGTTTGAATGATTTAATTAACTGATTAATGTCGATGACGCAAGAAGTGGTTTCCAAACCTTTCCGAGCCCGAGGTTCATGATAAGTGCTCGGCAGGCAATACATCATATTATTATATGGCTTTTCAAAATTCTCTATTCTGACTGGTTGACAAGCGGTCCGTAAAAACCCATATCCAGACCGTGGTCCATATTTTCCGTATCTGTCCCGGCGTCCCGGAGGTCGTTTATCTGGCGGGAAACTTTTGCTTTGCAAGAAGAAAATTTTTTTGCTTTTTAAATTTCCAATTGTGCTTTTTGATAAAAATTTCAAATAACCAAATTGTTTTTTATTCAGCATGCATGCCTACCGTATATTGTTATCCAGTGAAACTGACGATAGCCGATTTAATTCGCGCGAAAAGCATATGCTCACAGACTCAGTTCAGCCATATAATAAACCGATTATTGACCTCGCTTGTTCGGTCTGTACTGTGAAATATCAGACCTCTGTTTTTTGCATGGACGTCGTTCCTTCGTCGCTCGGTCCATACTAAAAAACCTCGGTCTGATATTTCACAGTACAGACCTCACGCTCGGTCAATGACCCTTTAATATTATAGTTCATATTCAAATTGTCCAATCAGAAAACAGGATTTTGTACCATGTGAGGCTGTGATTTTTTTACGGTATTTCACTCAAATCCATGATTACGGACCCTCACGCGTCAAAACAACAAAACTTCGAGAGCTAAAAAATTACTTTAAGTTTATTCTCAACTTTGTTGGTGTTTTTAACTTTCGGTATAATATATCATTTACATGCAGACTCTTCGCTCGACAGATTCGGCGAAATATTAACCTCAGTGATGATATTTCCTTCGGGGCGAACCCCTTCGGGAGATATCATCACTCCGGGTAATACTTCTTCGAATCCCCCTCGCTCCGGATATGTAAATGATAAAATTAGAATAGCTACACGTTCTCAATCAAAAGCTATCCATTAAATTTAGAGCTGTGCAGTTAACCGACAGACTTGGTCGGTACAGTTCTTTTCTAGTATTAAACCTCAATTCCTGTTGGAAGTGTTTAACTTCCTGTTCCAAGTTCCTAACTTCCTGTTCTGTTACGTGCATTGTAATTGGCTAATAAAAAAGCCAGTGACAACGGCCGGAACAGAGCAGGAAATCAGGAAATTTGAAAGGAAGTTTCACTGCATTTGGAATACCGCAACAGCCAACAGCCGATAGGAACATTGCAAATTCCCTGAAGGAATTTGCAAGGAAGTTTTTCAAATTTGCAAAGGTAATGAGGAAAATTGCAATCAAGTTAGAAACTCAAAAGAGGAACGCTTCACGTAGTTTACCTGTGACTGCTTATAAGTTATCTATTTTCATGTTACATTACAATTTTTTGAGCAAATGCTTTGATTTTTCCTTCTCTTAAAAATACCGAAACTGACGCCGAACCGAGGCTCTTTTCCCCCCAAAAGGCCAGAACTGGAATCGTGATGAAATTTCAGCAACCGCACAGTTCTAGTTATAATATTATAATATATTATAATATAGTTATACATCAATAGACAGATTTAGATCGAGGACGCGAACGTCAAAGACGACGTGAAAATGGCGTGTTGTGCCCATGTATGGATATGCCACGCCATTTTGACGCCATTTTCACGTCGTCTTTGACGTCCGCGTCCTCGATCTAAATCTGTCTATTGATGTATTAAGTAAACGTTACTTATAAACTTTCTACCGCTGGAAGAGGAAACTGCATTAGAATATGCGCAAATCTGGAATATTTTGAAGTGCATTAACACAGAGACAAACTTTACCTTTTCTGAGGACGCCGCAGTTGTTGTTAAATCGGTCAATGTGTTGAATAAGATCATTCCTGGAACAAAATTCCATCATTTCTTTCAATTTCGATAACTCATTTGCAGAGATTAAACAAGTTTGAATCATTGTTTGAAAAATATCCAACGGGCAAATGTCTTGATTGGCAACATCGTGTAAAACTTCATAACCTTCGTTCCGCAAATATTCTTTCATCTTCTCAATGAGCGGAGCTTGGTTTAAATCATCCGACAATTTGACAAGAAATTTTCTGAATGATGTGATCTTCTGATGCAAAGGATCTAAGGAAATTTATAATATTAAGTTTTGTTATATAGCTAGGGTGAAAATCAAACGTGATTGGCTGATTTGTAATCACGTGACTTCAGATAAATGCCATGTATCCCGCCGGGCAACAAATGAAAACTTGTTGCCCGTCCGACCGGCTACGTACATAAATAAACAAAATGGCGGCACAACTAGCATAATTAGAAACTACGATAATTTTTCCAAGTTTGTGTTCAAATAAAGAATGTAAAAGAGAAGAAAAATACACAACAGGCAACAGGATATGCTGCTGAAACCGTTTAAGTAGGTTCTTTTAATTTTAAACTCGTTTACACTATAGAGTTTTTGTTACGAAATACAATTGTTGTATGAATGTTGTTGAACGCTGATTTTTGTTTGTCGCTATATAACTAAACGCTTAATGTCTGTTCCCTTGGGAAATAGTTAGTTTTGTTTTCTCTCGAATCTCAATGTTTCCCTGGACTATGTCTCGGGAAACATTGAGACTCTCGGGAAAACCGATATTAAGTGTATTGAGACCCTCGGGAGTAGATATTAAGTGCATATTATCTCCAGGAAAATGGTGTGAACGATAAGTTACTACAGACTAAAATTGAGACGTTCTCTGACAAAGTATTTTTATTGACGACATTGCGGCTATCAGACCAATAGCCTTCAACAGCTAGTGATCAAACAACTTGTTATGGTCCGATATTTTTGTTAACAAACTGCCAGTGAGAAACTTGTAGGAAATGATATGATACGAACATTGCTATATACAACTTATTGAGAAAGTTTCTGCAATGCTGTTACTAACACATCATTTCTACACGAGTATGTGAATGACATAAAAGTCGCAAGATACAACGTATTAATAAATTAAATCATTTTCCCGGCGAAGTTGGACTTGTCAACTAAGAAAATGACTCAAAGTTTGTGAGTTCACGCCAACCAGATATATCAATCATGTTTTCGCTCGCTACGGGTGATCGGAATTTGCAACGTGGCTTCCTATAAACCATGGGATGACGTCATCTGCAAACAAAATGGATATATTCTTGTGGCAAATGAGCAGCGTCAACCCTTTTCAAAGCATGGTCAGGGTTTTTTTCAGGATTGTCTCTTGGGTCCGTTTTTGCAGAGAAGATTGAGTTTAGCTGAATAGCTGGGGTGGCTGCACCCCCCCCCCCCCTTGACACCTGTACTCAATAAATGTAGTTCAGATGCAAAGTGTTAAAGCAGGGGCACTAAGGGACACTATAAACTGGTTAAAGATGGCGAATGCGTAGTTTTTCTTGTCGGTTGTGAGATGAATTCCAGCCATTTTTTCTTAAGTCGGGTTTCCAACTGAAAACTAATTTCCACACGTCAAGAATTTAACTCAAACAACTTCATTTTTACTGCACCAAAACTTTGGTGAGAAGATTGAGTTTCAAAACTCAATTCAAGATTGAGTTTTTGGGGCCGTTTTATACGCCCTAAAAAATCCCTGAAAAAACCCCTGATGGTTACTCATCGTTATATGTAACGCTTATAGAGAACGTCTTTGACCATAGCGATTGTCAGTCACCACCACTAATGGCCGTCAAAGACGTTGAATAGGGATGACGGTGCTTATTACCCTCAGAAATATATCCATCTTGTTGGCAGAAAACGTCATCACACAGGTATATAAGAAGCCAGGTTGCGATTCCAGATCACCCCTGATAAAGACGTTGGTCGTGAATGGAATTCGACTGGACTTTAATTGCATCCATTTATAAAAACCATAGACTGCGAGCGGTCCCTCCTTTCCGGGGGTTTAGCTTCCCGGGCGTGCAAGCTAGGGAGAGGAAGGACTGCCGACAAGTCAAGTTGTCCGACTAACCAATCAATAGTCTTGCTGGCCAACTGATTTTCTGGCCAATCTTATCGACTGACTCACTGAATATGGTGAATCAACCATCTATAAACAGACTGACTGCCTACCAAATTGACCAACTTATAGTGAATGCTTGACTGACTGATTTAACACAATAAGATGCAATGCACCCGAATTTCTAACTTTACTCTATTGCCAGACGATTTTATTATTCATCAAGAGACGATCTTATTCATCAAGGGGCTGTTTATATGGTCCCGCTTACCCGGTGTGACGCGAAATTCCTGAC